AAAAAAAAACAAAAAAAAAAAAGCCCTTTTGTATAGTAAGTTCTTATTGAACTACGTACTAACAAGTGATTAGATTTGTGTCTATTTGCCATTTTTACACATTTGTAGGAATCACGTCTCAGTAATTATCAGCGGCGACAACACAGGAAGATTGATGAAATTCGAACCGAACACGAACAAAACGACTCTTCTGCTAGACAACCTCAGGTTCCCAAACGGCATTGCGCTGAGCGAAAACAGGGATTTCTTACTTTTCGTGGAGACCACAACTTGTAAACTATTTAAATATTGGCTCAAGACACCTAGGATTGGAGAACTTGAGGTTATGACACAATTCCATGGTTTTCCAGACAACATAAAGAGGATCAAAAGTGGTGGCTTTTGGGTGGGAATCAATTCGAGGAGAGGGAAACTCTTGGATTGGATCATTTCGAACCCTTCGATCGGAAAATTTGTTGTTGAATGGTCTCCGTTCGATTGTACTAGGATACATTTGTACATGGCTCGTTTAATCGGACGTTTGGGAATGGGGATTAGGCTTGATCGAGACGGGAATGTGGTCGATGTATTGGATTTGAGTAAGGGAATGAAATGGAAATTGGTTAGTGAAGTTGAGGAGCATAATGGGTATTTGTGGGTAGGGTCTGTGACAAGGTCTTTTGCTATTAAAGAAAGAGTTCCAAAACATCATTAAAAAGATAATAATGTTTGAACATATATAAATTTTTATAAGTTTTGGTTATATTTTTTGGTTTTGTCTATTATCTTTGTGGAGATTATTTGCACATTTAGCTATGTAACCATGAAATAATATCATGTTTCCATTTGGACTCTTCTTCTCTTTATAAATACACATTAAAAATGGATAATATACCTTTACATTTCAACGACAAAATCTTAATAATATTGTATATTATTTATTTATTTATTTATTGATTTTTTTGATAGTCAACCACGGTATCTGGAGCGTTGCCACGACTAATATGTTGGTCGATCCGGATCGCACACCTGGCAATGATGGGTGAGTCTCCCAACAAAAGTTTGATCTTAACTTTACTCTTAAATTGTCCATACAGAGGGTTTGATCTTACCGTTGATTGTATTGCAGTTATCAGAATTTTTTATCGTTGGATTAATATACACATACTTATCCACCCACGTGTGCATTGATCTAACGAGTGTATATTAATTCAATAATAATAATAAAAAATGGATAACTACACTAGGGATTCTTTGTAAATAAAAGATTGTTTTGTAGTAATTTTCTTCTACTTAAAAAAAAAAAATACAATATCCATGCTTCATTTAATCATTTTCCAATTTATGACAATATGATAGAAACATCATCAATGAATGGCTTAAATTATAATTTATACATGTCTACCTATTTGTGGTGTTGGGCCCCTCTTACTTACCATATGTGGACGTAATCATTTTATTGAAAAATGAAATTGTGGCCCATGTTTGAAATCTTAATAATGGTTTTTGAATGTGATTAAAAGCTTTTGATTTCAAAAGGCCCATAACTGCTTTATCCATTCAATTATTTTGACAAGTTTTCTTCAATTGTACTCCACAATCATTTTCAGCCCTATATTTTTCCATGGATCAAATTTATTTGAAACGAAGACCACTTGGTTACTTGATTAAAGATTTTTATTGAACATGATTTATCTACAAAATATCTAAATTATTAAGTTCGAATTATTGTTCGAGTAATTTAATGTTTTTAAATAAATAAAATTTTATATAAAATATAAATATATTGTATTTAGATATTCGTATTAAAAAATGCTACAAGTACATAATAAATGTACATAGACGTGTACATAACACTCGCATGGAGTAAGGTCCACATGATTTTTTATTTTTTGTTGATCCCATTAGTATTAAGTACACCATTATGTATAATATTATGTAGCTATAACATTTCTCTTCGTATTAACGTATTGTATTGTACCAATGTCTCGTAAGTCGTACCCGTATTAGTTCTCCATCTTGACCAACAACTCTCATCAATCCAAAGTGCCGGATTAGTGCTTTTAACAAAGTATTAACACTGTTTTTATTAGGTTTATGGTGTTGAATATACTGAAAAATAAGGAGTATCGAGGTCGGATATTTACGCATTTGAGCTCGGATGCTCGTACCAAATGCATTACTTAATAATAGAATATATGTAATTCTTTGTAATTTTTTATGATCCCTTTTATAATGAATTCTTAGGACTAGTTATAGTAAGAGTGGTCTGGTTACTGCTCAATTAGCAGTACAACCGAGCATTAAATGAAAATGACACGCATTAAATGCTTCACAAGACCTTGTACGGTTATGCCACGTAGGCTGGCAGACTTTTAATTGGAGTGTACCATCTCTCATGATTCCATTGCAAGTTGTTGTTTTTTTTGGTATTATCTGCCGCCTTAATGCGCTCAGCTTGGATCACTAGTCCTAGCTCTCAACTTATTTTATTTAAACCCTGAGGTCGGTTTTGTCGATTGGCAGTTTCCGGGTCGGACTTGCGCTTATAGTCTCTCGGCCCAGGTGTTCCGCATATTTCTTGCTCGACTCTCGCATGTTCCTGCATCCCGGAATTGTTTTTTGTCCGCGATTACTTGACCCGAGGACTTGAATCGACTATTTCTTCATTTTGCACTAATATTCAATTATGATTTCTTCATTTTTTTTTATTTTGATTTTTTTGCAATAATAGTATGATATATTCAATTATGATATATCATCTTGTTAATAGATAGCATAAATATATTTTTTCAATAATTCACTATGCGGATATTTTATTTTATTATTCTTCCCATATAAAAGGCCCTAAATAACAGCCAAATGGTGGTGAATGATTGGTAATTAGGATAATGAAATGAAAGAGGGAATGACACGTATTTGTAGTTGAAAGTGGGCCCACTTCGCACGACACTGATTCGAGTTCAACCGCCCGTCCATTCCATTTTTATTTTTTAACATTTCATTTACATATTTTGTTTTTGTATTTATTATTCAATAGACAAGGCTTTTTTTTTTCGTCAAATATTAAAATAATGTATTATTAATCCAAACCAACAAAAAAAAAAAAAAAAGAAAGTACATCATAAACCCGACAGTTGGTTAAATAAGAACAAATAAGAACAAATTATTAAAACATAAACAATGTATAAACTGGTAAATGGAACGAGACGCTCATGAATTTGACTCAATTATTTATTTATTTATTTAAATCAGCTGAACTTGACTTCATTTAGCTAACTAATTGGACTTGACTCAATTCGGTAATGCTTAAGAAGAAATTTTTTATAGTTAAACTCGAACTTAGTTCGTTAATAAATAAGTTAAATTCACGTTCCATTGCCGACTCGTTAGCTACCGAGTCTTAAGAACACGATCGCAAATTTACAACCCATTAATGAAATAATCACGCAAACAATAAAAAAGAACAAACATTGGAAATACAAGAATAAAACTAACAAATCTAAAAACAACAAAGTGAAAACTAATACACAATTTAAAAGTAAAATCATGTCGAGTCAAATAATTCATGGCCTCTAACTTTATTGTAGCCTATAATCTTTCTTCATAGATAACAAAATTGGATAAATAACAAAAGATTATACTCTGTTAAGTTGTATATTATTTTTTCTTTCTAAAATGATGTTCATTTTTGTATTATATAATTAGCGTTTTTAATAAAAAAAGAATTAAATAAACTCGTTACAAGCAACTTAATTAGGGGAAATGTTAGAGTCCCGTTACAGAACTAATATTCCGTCGTGATTTGTAACTGTTGGATCATCATGTAACCATCATGGATAATTGATATAACTATTACAAACCCTGACGGAATGGTTTCGTAACGGATCAGAGACGGATCCACATATAATATAGGGGGGGCTATTGTCCCCCCAAACTTTTAAATTTTTACTATGTATATGTATACACATAATAAACATTTTATCTAATTTTTACCCTTTACTATATAAATATATACAATATAAGCATATTCAATTTATACACACTCAATAATCATTACTATATGACTTTGTCTATTAATCATTTTTAAGAATTTTTGTAAGTAGTTTTTCACTCTTCATCTATAATATTTGGTGTTTTTTCTTTATAATATAGGATTTCATTAAATTGAATGTATGATACATGTGAAATCTTAAAATAAAAAATCTTGAGATAGCAAAATATGCAAGATATGCAATTTCGTGGAATCGAAAAGTAATCGCAAGAACTATTTAACACTGAATTAATTGATAATGAGTCACCTTAAAGAAGAAAAAAATCAATTGTTAACTAGTCTTGTGATCTAAAATAATATCAAACAAAATTTTAAAATACCAAAATTAATAAGTTATATAATTTGTAAAGTATTTTTTATTATTTATTTTATATGTTTAATATATAAAGAAATTGTATGCCTTATATATGTGTGTTATAAAAAATTATATATCTTCACTAAAGGTGTCATTCAAGTGGAGTAAAACAAAATATCTTATGTTTCGCGTTTGATTGGTAAATGAATCAACTCGACTTGACTCATTTAAAAACAAGTGAGACCCAACTTAGTTAATACACAAGTTCGATTAAGTGTTTGAAGTTAGTTCCTTTAATTATAAGAATGAGTTTAGATCGAGGTTTTACGAGTCAAATTGTGCTATGTTCGCAGACATTTATGTTCGAATAACAACTCCAATCCCCCCAATTTTTTTTTTTCTAGATTCGCCCCTAGTAATGGTGACCGTAGAATCTCTCCTTAATTAGCATATTTAATTGATTACATTTCTCATAAAATTCGAATTTCCAGTAAACAAATGAGTGTACTGCATCAACTTTATGACGCACAATCCATGGTTCACGTAACCCCATTGAAAAAACAAAACAAAGAAAACAATTACCCTAAAAAAA